TGAATGTATTTGTAGAATTTATACTTTAATAGGAAGTAAGTATATTGTTATGTGCAAAGATGATGTGATTTAGATATTATGTGAAATCTAAGACGAGTTCGTGCTTCAAATTTGCCAAGTAAACGATATGACGATTTTTTAAATTTGCTACACTGATTTTATAAAGTTGTCGTTTGCCGCAAAACATAAAGATATGGCGTAGTACAGTGCCATCAGCCCATTTCTAGCATGCTGAATGTTATCGTATTTTGAGTACGTGTTTTTCTTAGACTATTACAATCTATTTTAATTGTTTTGCTGACTCTAAAGTCCGTAACAGACTACCGCAGTGCACCTCAAGGAAGGTGCACCGCACCATTTGAATCACTCTCACTTGATTCAAATTTTAAACTTATCAAGGGATCGCCTGATAAAAAAAAAACACCTACAGAACATTTATTCGTTAATGAAATTACAAACGTCATTCCTTGTGACTTCCTCTCTAAAATCACTTAATTAATAAATATTTAACGAATTTACAATAGTGTTTTACTCACTGTGGAATAAAACTATTTTATTTAAATAGTTCCGAAGAGATTTTGTCGGTAGCCTTTTTCCCGAAATATCTAAACAGAATGTCTAAATATGTTTTGACATATTTTAAAGAGTTATTTATGATTAGTGTCATGATCAATAGATTCCGACTGAAAAATGCTGTCCGATTTTTCGGATGAGGGCTCCATAATGAATTTAAATATATATAGATAGATATAGATATATAGATTTTGGGGCATCGACTTTCTTGAGATCCTATAAAATATGTTTTAATTATTATTTTTGTATGTTTTAAGCATGATAAAATAAGAAATTTTATATAATCAATCATATTAAATCGATATCAAAGCCAATAAATAATGTACAACCCAAAACAGACGGCCGAACTGACGTGACAATGACATTTGGTGCGCTAAACATGGTGGATTTTCGGCCTCATTAGACGGAGATGGAGACATTTACGTATATTCATGTTTCATTTTATGTACGCACTGAAATACTGTTACCTATATTATTTTCCTGCGAGTTAAAGTGCTGAGTAAAAACGAGATAGATATATGTTTATGTGTGTGCCTTCAAAATGGGTGCTATTTATATAAGCAATTGTACGTACAGAACAATATGTCGTGTCCCTACTATATAGGTCTATGGCTGTATGTAATTAGAAATGTTTTTGTAATTTATTTACAAACTTTACATTCTCGCTTACCAACTGTCAATGAATAGGTAAAACTATTGTTTGAAACTACAAGTGGGCGTGTAATGTCGCAACACGCCAAATATTTTTTGTTCCTTAATATTTTCTCGCTCAAATTCAATTACTTACCATTGCGTTTCTATTTGTAACAGTATTGCAAAATTGTTATTACTTGCTGTGACCGATCGGTGTCGGGTGTCGGTCGGGTGTATCACTCGCCTAACCTAACGCTCGAAATTCATTGTTGATTTGCGGCTATAAACTTGTTACAAAATTATTATTAGCATATTTTCCGTTCATTAAAGGCATAGAAGTCCTTACGACGCTGACGATAAAGTCGATAATCCTATCTATGTTGCGAAGTCATTTTGTTTATCGACGGTTAAATTCCGTTGAAATAACGATATGCAGATAACTTCAGTCAGTACGTGCTCAGACACGCGCCGGGGTGTTCGTGTCGCCCGGTCCCGCGCTCTCATATCAATAATTCAAATTTAAAAAAACGTTACACATACATAACGAATTAGTATGACCTTTGATTAATTTGTCTCGAACAATGCATCATTAGCCAGTGTCGATCAGTGCTACAGTGCCAAGGCCGAACGCAGTTCACAAAATGGAAGACGTGTATACAATTAAAGTCAAAACAAAGCCAGATACGCGTAACTTGTATCCGTCGGAGCGCCGCTACTCCGCCTCCACGGTGTCGGGGCTGGCCTGGGTCCACATCGCGCTCTCCGCCACCTCGTTCCTGCTGGCGTGTCTGGCCTTGGTCAACCCGGACGAGGGAAAACAACCTAATAACACAACAGAGTCCCTGAACTCAATCAACGGCACAGCCAACACGTCGTTCGTCGCGGACAATGGGTACATACTGGTGCTGGCGCCGAGCTTGCTCAGCGTGTTCGGCCTGGCGGCGGGCGTCGCCAGCATCATGGCTTCCGTGAAGTGGTACATAGACCACAACATCACCTGGCTATTCATAGCCTCGGTTATGTCCACTGTAGTGTCCTTGGCATCGTTTGTAATGGTAGCGGTGTGGTTCGCCTCCACGTCTGAAGGAGAAATAACAGACTTTTATAAAGATAAAGTACCTTTCAAAGATTTCGTGGTCGTAAGACAGGCAGATGTGTATGAGCATAACTCTTCACACGTTATAGTGGCTTTAAACTCCACTAAGGTGAGCGAGGAGAGTCAAGGATCACGAGTGTTCACGACGGGAGTACTCTCCATCAACATCCTCATAGCCGCCTTCCTCGAAGTGCTTTGGTCGATCCTGAGCGTCAAGATATCATATAGAGGCATGCGGAACAACTACAAAGACGACAGCAGCGAGCCAAGAGGAAAATGCATATCTGTTGTCACCAAGATAAAAGGAAACGATCCTAAACACATCCCTCGGAACGGAAAATTGCTGAAACCAAAACCGGACCTCATAGAACATTATCCCAATAAGAAGATCAAAAAGATATACCTCGCTCAAGACGAAAACGGGTTCTATTTGAAGAACCAAAACAACAAAGTGAAGCAAAACACGGAGACTAGCTCTGAGATATATAAGGAGAGGATGATGAACTTCCTCAACCGCTGCGCCTCTCTCGAGGGCGTCTCCAACCCTGAGGCAACTCCGAGCGTTCACTCAGACGCACTGAACACTATCCCGGAAGTTGCCAGCGCTGAAATTAACCTAGAAAATGAACGTAAAGCCACAACGAGCCCGCTCAGCTGGGGAGACACTCCCGACCACACCGTGTACAATCAGAACACGCTGAACTTAGACAATATATTTAATTTTACGAAGAAAGTGGATGCGAAAAACGAAGAGCCAAGTGAAAACGACAATCTGTAGGTAATTAGCCGTGAAACATGCGCCGCGACGTACTCGACTTACTCGCTCCCTCCGCGGGACTCGCCACTGCCTCACAGACAACTACTAGCGATGTTACTGTGTATTGTACACACTCACTGGTAGGTAAGCGGTACGTGAAGCCTCTCCCTGTCATCATCAGCAAATAGCGCGATTACAGTAGTTTCTTTTACTTAGACCAATTCTGTAATGAACTGTTCCGTGGTCTGAAAGTGCCACGACACGCCAGGATATAAACTACTTTGGAAGAGTTCACGCTTCAGTTACTTGGTATGACAAGTTTTCTACCATATGAGACATCATCATGAGACACAGCGAGTTACTCAAACGAGGCTATATATTTATTTTTAATAGGCAGCTTGAGATTTTTTGATAAGTATTGGGTAGTGCAGTGAGCTCCGGGCTCCAGACTGACAGTGTGATTGTGAAGTGTCCGGCCTGCATGGCACTGTTAATGTCAGCTCAGCTAATATATGTTACTATTCCAGTTTCAATATAATAACGGCATTACGTGGAGGATCAATGCACTTTATTTACATGTTGTGTGATGTTGGCATAGTAATGGCCGTTTAATTGTGAAAATCATCGAATATGTAATTAGTGTAGTGAACATAATACTCTCTATTACTTATACGGACGTTATATATCTGTTAGACCTAAGCCGGAACCTACGCAACTATTCATTTCCGTCTGTGTTCATTGTCTAGTGTTTTGTTTTTCACTCGATTCTTTATCATTTTCAAGCAATTTAATAGTTTCTGTACGATAATTATTAATTATGGATTCAACTTATTGTACATAGGTATTGTCTTCTAATGTTTTTAGATAATAAGTTGTATGTTGTGTTGTGTTGTAATAAGTGGTCTCCTAGTTGGGAGTAGTGGCCGCGTCGCTGGGACATGTGTAGTCGTGCCGGTGTCTGACTGAAACAGCCGCCGCACAAGTCCTGAGGCCTTGTGCCTCATGTCTCAACAAGTCTGCGACGTTGACGCTGTGAATCATGTGAATGCTGAGGGCGCGGCGGGTCGCTCCCGCGCGGGCTGGACGGCGTCTATCAACCGCAATGCAAAATCTTTTTATTCATTTGTTTTACGAATAAAGTGTAAAATCCATTTATAAGTATGATGAAATGGTAAAACTTTCAACAAGCAGGTGCGGTGTGTGTTCTGTAAACATAGATTTGATGCGTCACAGACCCTTTATTTAGAATCATTGTATGTAGCTTTAAAGTAACTTCAACCGTGCTTTAAGATTGTATGAATAAAAATAGAATATTTCGACACAATAGTTTTCCTGTGTATTGTGATATACCTATATGACATTTTTTTTAAGACACTAGCTTTTTTGAACGAAGTTCCTTACGGCAGACGAGAAGGAGATAGGGATTTGCTGCGCGACCGGACTGAAAACATGTGAGACTAAAACTGTAAGAAAACATATAACAGAAGTGCTATAGTCGCATACACAAGCAAATAGTGTACAATACCTTTCTCTATCTCCCTGTTTCTTTCTGTTCTCTCGTCTCTTCTCTTTTTGATACTACTCCGCATGAGTTTAAACTACTCATGAATTCATGCACAAGTAACGCACATGCGCATATTCATGAAATTATTCTCTAAGCACGTGCTGATACTTACATTATAAATTCATTTTACTCGTAAATAAACACTTTTATTTTCGTAGTGTTTTTAAATTATTTATGTGATTTTATAATGTCGAAGAAAAAAAAAGAGAAATCATGAAAATATATTATAAAGATAAGCAATATATTTTTTCAAATTGTGTTGCTTCCATATTGTCCGAAGGAACTTCGTCTCTATCTGGTGTTCCATGACACACCTCTCTCTTTTATTTTAATATACATTTATGTACATAAAATTATACACCATCAGTATTGGATTGATAAATTTTTTAGTAAAAATAGTAATGACGGCGCATTCCACAGTTTATTAATTATGTAAAATTATTATTGTTTAAAAATGTATTCAATGCTTTTATGATAGTTTTTTAAGATCGTTAGTGGGAATCGCTATGCGTTCTCACGTCATGATAATGTAAGAACTTCATTAAACATTTCTACTTTCGTACCCAGTAGTCTTCTTTGCCCATGTTGTACTCCTTCTCATTTCCAATGGGGTTCTGCCTGCGCCCTCGGCTGTCTTGTACGGAGCACTGCGTCCCTCGCCAGGTGGCCTGTCCGTTAGGGTCACTCGGAACCGTTGAGGAATTAGCGTAATGTTTAGTGTTACATATGTGAAACAATGAACGCGTGTTTTGATAATTGTAAAAAAATTACTAAGAAATGCTTATCACCTTTTAATTCAATAATAATGTACCCGTTTATTTGTAAAGCAGTGTAATTACATAAGTATTGTCGTTGGTCTTCGAAGTGTTATAATGAATGTCAATAAAATGTAGTGTCATCCGTGAGCCCAACTTTAAAAGAATCCGTGACACAGGCGCTACGAACTTCCTTACCGTGCAAAAACTATTTAGTCATAAAAACTGACGGAGAGTCGTTGAACTGATCACAAAGAGACAGAGTGCGGTCGGTGCGGGAGTGCTCCCGACGAGCTGGAACCGGCACCAGTGTGCTTAGTGCGAGTTTTTTAACGTTTTCGATAGCGTAAAAGTTAACTCATATTTGTATGCAGTTGGAGCAGCGCTCCTAGCGGCAAACGTGAGCAAACGATCCCATTCCATACAAATATGAGCTAACTTTACGCCATCGAGTACGTTAAAAAACTCGCACTAAGCACACAGGGCGACGCGGCTATAGTTCAACTTATTTCTGAACAACACTAATTGAGTGTTCGAGTCGAGCAATAATCTTATTGATTTATTTATTCGATAAACAAAACCTATCTACAAAGGGGAATGCCCACTCTCCAGTGTGCTAGGCCCAAGGTGGACATCAAATATTACTATAAAAATGGACTGATTCAAATTCTTAAATGTATTAGATATCTAAAAAATATATTGAAATTGACGCCACTATTATAAAAAATATAATAAAAATAAAAACTCGTTTTGAGGTTAATTTTCTATACAAATACTTCAAGAACTTTTCTTTTTTTAATGTTTAAGATGTTCCTAATGTATTTTTATTCAATTGTAGTTATTAAGGTATAAAAAAAACACATACTTCTTTAAATATCTATATTTTCTTCATCTTCATACACAATTAGTAAATCATCTAAAAATAGCACAGGAGAGCATATACACGGTTTTAAATCTCGGTCAGGTTAAAACCACAATTCACACAATGTTTTTCAGTCGTAGTATGAAACGTTATTGATAAAAGCAAAATAAATCGAAGAAAAATCAAAACACATCCATTTTGAACGCAAGCACAAGCAGCGAGCGAAGTGTTAGTCAGTCAGATTAAAATTAAAATCAGTGTTGTCAGTATAAAGAAAAATAATTACATGAAATTCATATATCGATCATTTTTTTAAATAACCGATAATTGATTTATTTCTTAATCTTTTTTTTACGAGTACACATAATTTTTTATTTTTTATGTTTTTGTTTTTGTTGTACATATTTAAATAACGATACAAGTAAAGTTTTTTTTTATTGCTTAGATGGGTGGACGATCTCACAGCCACCCTGGTGATAAGTGGTTACTGGAGCCCACAAACATCTACAACGTAAATGCGCCACCCACCTTGAGATATAAGTTCTAAGGCCTCAAGTATAGTAACAAGTTAAAGTCCAATGGGTATCACTTTGGTGTTATTTTATGTGCTTAAAATCGATTAAAATCGATTGATTAATGATAATACTTAAAATGATTTATTTATATGTTTTTCTTATATACTTAAAATGTTTACTTAATACGTAAAAGGTTTTGATGCTGGCAATATTTTTCCCGCAAAAATAAAAATCTTGGTTTTTTCAACAGTTACTTTTTTTAAACTACCTATTGTAAACTGTAGTGGCGCTTATTTGGAAGAAAGTAAATGCATATTTATTTACGACAAAATAAATGCACTAAGTATTTTTTGGGCATTCCCCTTTTATCTTGATGTACAGTATACATAAAACGAAATGGTCTCAAGTAATCCACTAATACATTACAGAGAAATTTGAGAATAAATTAAGGAATTCAAAATTAAATGCTACGCGCTATAATGCTACTTATTCACGTATTGAGGGCGTCTTGTGAGTCCGCATTAATTGCTTTCATTCTCTTGCACATTTCTGCCGCGATGAAGCGTTTCGGCTTGATTAACGCCAGCGAGACGATTAGGCGTTTGATAAGTTAACATTGTGTTGGGTGCGTGTGTGTTTGTGTCATGTGTGTAGGTCTATAGTAGTTGCGCGAGCCACGACGAGCCCTTCACTTTACTTTGTCCGTAACGCACATAGGCACATGCCCTGTTTTCATTCCTTTGTCGTTTATACTAAACTGCCAAATAAAATATGTATATACTGGATTTGGTGATATTTTTGTTTGAACGAAGTAAAAGTTATATTATTCTGAGACTAGTTTTTTTTTTTTATTGCTTATATGGGTGGACGAGCTCACAGCCCACCTGGTGTTAAGTGATTACTGGAGCCCAAAGACATCTACAACGTAAATGCGCCACCCACCTTGAGATATAAGTTCTAAGGTCTCAAGTATAGTTACAACGGCTGCCCCACCCTTCAAACCGAAACGCATTACTGCTTCACGGCAGGAATAGGCAGGGCGGTGGTTCCTACCCGTGCGGACTCACAAGAGGTCCTACCACCAGTAAATATGATTTCATCTATGTAATCAATGTACTCAATTAATTTAAAAAATTCTAATAACGCGCACTGGTAGACAATAGATACACTCCATTCGTATTGGTTAGAAAATTAAACTTCATTAGTTCATGACGAGGCGACCTTTTAATATAATGTCCATCGCGTGTCGCTCGGCTGACGACGCACGCGCTCGCGGCGGCCGCTAATGCCGTTTATTTATTTATTTGGGAAACAAACAGAAAAAAATATAGCTAAAACAATAACCAAATATGTTTCCACAATCAAAATCAGATATAAGTAGAAAATGAGGAGTGAAAAGAAATTAGAAATTTAAATTACAAAAAAACAAAAGCAACACAATACGCATTATATTGTTGTCATTTAAAAAGTATAAAACTATCACATTACTTAAATACAACAATACTTTAACACGAGTACTTAAAAGTCGGCGAACCTTATTCCGGTTACGTGTAGATAATATCTCCAGTAATATGTTTAATATCACGCAGCTTTTGAAAGCGCCTGTCAAAAAGTCACGAATGAAAAGAAAAAATTGCGTACATATTAGTTCCGTCGCGCGATCGGAGTTACGTGCTGTTGTTACTGAATATACAGTAGGCAAAGTAGAAAATAAACACATTTCATATTATATTGGAAGCACTTCTATTCATATTTATTACGAATTGATTTAAAGTTTCGTGGCTATCTGTGTACAGTATTATTTACCGGGATCTTACTGGCAGCAGACTTACCTACTTACCTTATGTGACAATAGGACACAATATACTTCGACATTTAAGTATTACCTGAGTGAAGAAGTTTAATTGAATATAAACAAGGTTATGGTTAACGCTTCATTATTTGTTTTTTTTTAATGATTGAAGGATTACTGGTGGCCCGGAAGCCTTTCCAGTTTCACCAGGACAGGTGGGCGAGCAAAGGCTCAGCCAGGAGGGGTGGGATTTGCTAACAGCTACCCGAGCGCCTCCGAAGGAGACCTAACAGCTCAAGAGTAGCTGCTTCGCGAATGAATCTACTACCGGATCGGAATCGCGACCCGCTGAGAAGATCCGGCGAGAAACTCAGCGAGCTGATTCATGGGNCGCCTCCGAAGGAGACCTAACAGCTCAAGAGTAGCTGCTTCGCGAATGAATCTACTACCGGATCGGAATCGCGACCCGCTGAGAAGATCCGGCGAGAAACTCAGCGAGCTGATTCATGGGTTAGGTTGCACGGCGAACTCTTTGTCGAGTTCGACGAGTACGGTTACCGAGGTCCCCAAGCCTGCTCCTAGTATTAGCGCTGAAGGCGTGTAATGCAAAGGTTATTGGATCTGATGGATCCGTAAGGACGTGACGCTTCATTGTGCTTGCTACTCAGGGCCGGATTTAAACTTAATGCCGCTCCTGGGCACCGGAAAAAATCCGCCCCAATAATGGAATTTTACCTAAACTTTAAGTTTATAATAATATCTTTTATTTTACAAAATTAAAATAACTTATTTATTGCGGAAACTTCATCATATATGTCATATTATTATATTCCAAAAACATAAATAAACATGTTTTTTTTGTAACGATTATAAATTTTGACTAAGGGTGACTCATAATTATATTACATAAAAGAAAAAAATAATAATTAAATTTGTATAATTAAAGAAAATAGCAAAATCGATTATTATTTTAAATCTCCAAGGAAATAAATTGATTAAATCATTTTGATTATTAATTTTTACCAAAAGTGCCAAGATTATATTTCACAAATAATGGATGAATTGAATTTCTTGGATTATCAATTAAAAAGAAAATTATTAATTATTAAAATTAATTAATTATATTGAGCAATCTTGATAAGACTAAAAAAAAATTTTTACTTTCAAAATTTTGCCGCCCTGGGCACTTGCCCCGACTGCCCCTGCCCAAATCGACTGTTATGAAATAAACTCTAAAATAAGTCATATCAGCACATGAGGTTTTGGTAATAATTACAATAGTTTTTGTAAAGAAAGAACGTAATATTATTAATGTACCGATTCCATGTACCTACATGAAGAATTGATGTGTGCAATTTAATATTATTACACCAATATCTTGTTAAGACTATTTTGAAATTAAATCAAGACACTTTTATGTATGTTATATGTGATGCAATAATTTGTATGTAGATTAAGCCTTTATACGTATTTTGTAATAAAACACTTGAGATCGATTTACCCTTGTTTATATTGTACATTACCTCCTTCGGTTCTGCAACAGACAGGGACCCCTTCATTTCTATTTCAGTGCTCTGAGGAATTGTTAGAGATGATCTCCTCATCTCCTTTTTATCATCGCATCTCCCGCCATCGGAGTAGAGTTCATCCACATTATCGGAAACCGCTGCATTCATCGGTAGTGCGTTTCCAGAAGTCTTTTTGCCACGTACCATCCGGCTCTGGAATGAGCTCCCCTCCACGGTGTTTCCCGAGCGCTATGACATGTCTATCTTCAAAAGAGGCTTGTGGAGAGTATTAAGCGGTAGGTAGCGTCTTGGCTCTGCCCCTGGCATTGCTGAAGTCCATGGGCGACGGTAACCACTCATCATCAGGTGGGCCGTATGCTCGTCTGCCTACAAGGGCAATAAAAAAAAAAAAACAAACCGAATAAAATTATATTTTTAATCCTGGCGGTCCTTCGTCCTCGCGTGAAACCCCCTCTCCTTGCGGGTCCTGGGGGTGACGGTGGGACTCATTAATAACAATCCGGTTGACATTCTTATGTGGATTTGTCCCCAAAATATTTCCTTTTGGATGTTAAATAAATAAAAAAACATTAATTTTTTATTATTTTTATTACACAAAAATAAAGTAAATGCATTGTTCTCAGCACACGTAATAGTCTTAGGTCTCAACAATTTTAACAACTTAAATTCTAAACTGTTCTATCTCACTCTACACCACCGCGTCACCTGTGTGCGAGCAGGACAACACTATCAACGTTAAGGCACGCGTCTCGATCTCTCACTAAATATATTTGTAGGATTTCCTCTCAATCAGGACTCTCCAGGTGTCGAGAGGTGGCGCCGCCCCTCAACTCTTCTTGTACAACTGGTGGACGGGTCACCCGCCGGCGACGGCTGTCTATCATCTTGTTGAGTTTAAAAAGTGTCTAGAAATAAACAGGGGCCCTGGAGGTTTTTTTTTATTGCTTATATAGGTGGACGAGCTCACAGCCCACCTGGTGTTAAGTGGTTACTGGAGCCCATAGACAACTACAACGTAAATGCGCCACCCACCTTAAGATGTAAGTTCAAAGGTCTCAGTATAGTTACAACGGCTGCCCCACCCTTCAAACCGAAACGCATTACTGCTTGGTATAACAGATGTGTTTTTAAAGTAACTGGGCGGGATCGTTTAGCGACTTATGTGACGCGTAGTCGCTTGTCAGTCACCAGAGGACCAGCGCGGAGTAAGTATCACACGCATTGACAGTAAAGGAACTTAGATGTACAATGGACTATTGTTGTCTGGCGTGAAAACAGTTTAAATACACCCTTTATGCGCCCAGGTAAGGACCTTTGCCGCTAGGGCGCTGTTCCAAAAGTCTTGAGGTGTCTGTGATTATGGTCTATGTATGGGAACTAGCACTTGCGTGAACATTTCTAAAGGGAAGAGAATATCTTCCAGAGACGAAACCTTCTTGCCCTGCTGTTGAGGACTTCAACTTTTGTATGATTATAATTACATATAGCATAGTATATGTACTAATTTAAACAAAAACTATTGTTTTGGCTCAGCACGCAATGTAACACATTTGTAAATGACATGACGCTCGAGGTCATCGCCCGCCGGTCACCTTCATTTATGAGTCAAATATCACGTAACGGCAGTACGTTGCTGCTGCGTGTGTGTCGCGCCTAAAAACGACACTCCCGACAAAGTTCACTGTGTTCACAATGTTTTAGTAAGTAGGTAGTTTGATGTCGCCCATAGCGGCGGCGGCTGATGTTGAGGGTCGCAGTGGACTACGCGACCGGCTCCTCCGTGAAGTAAGGGTGCTCCAGGCAGTCCATCGCCGTCAGCCGCTTGGACGGGTCAAACACCAGCATGCCCTGAAATACAAGGTCACTGTGTCAAACAGTTTATCTTTTGTGAACACGCAATGTAACGCAAACACAGCTCTAAATGAAGTCTTAAAATTAAGTATTTACAATAAAATTAAAAGTGCATTAATATAGATGCAATGATTCTTAACAGCCATGTGATGTCTGTACAAAACACAGATTTTACACTCAGCATTTTACAAAATCATACTCTTCTCGATATTAATGCTACAAACAGCTGATGAGTCCGTGTACTGTCTTATGACGACACAAGAGTTATCAAACCTAACAATTTTAGGTTTTTAAATCTAAATTAATTTTTGTGTACAAACTTACAATGTCAATTAATTATAGTCGAATTTCGACTACTGCGGGACCTCTAGTCGAAGTAAATACCACAATAATAATTGTATGTTCCATCTTGAATAGTGTACCTTGATAAGATCTAATGCATGAGGATGTATCCTGGGCAGGATTCTGGCCAGGTCCTGTGGAGGGTAGCTCGGGAAACTGTCCAGCTCTATGGATACGTTGTCAGGCCACTCCGAGCGAGGGGGCCGACCTATTAATCTGCAATTGAAATCATTGTTTAATTATGAGCAAAAAATTATGTTTGATCTGCAGAAGTGAACTCTGCGTGGGCAAACTAAACATATAGCACCTTTAATTGAATTTAGAATATAAAAAAAAAAATATTACAAACAAAATAAAATTGTTTACATTAAAAAGTACATACTAATCACATAAAACTAAAGAAAATTTATTTGTTGGGTTATTGTATCGATGTTGAAGACAAGACAACATGGCACAGACCTAAAGATACGGTGCAGCTGATCGGAGTCGGAGGCGCCGGGCAGCAGCGGGCGGCGCGTGTGCAGCTGCGCCAGCACGCAGCCCGCCGACCACACGTCCAGCGCCGAGCAGTAGCGCGCCCCCAGCAGCACCTCCGGGGGGCGGTACCACAGCGTCACCACCTGCACACAGATACACACACTCACCGCCCTGTCCAACAGTACTGACACACACCCACACACATGAGATATACGAGTTATTATATATTTACAACACTGGTGAGCTTCATCTCTACATCATAGGTCTTGGCGAGACCGAAGTCAGCTAGCTTGACTCGTCCAGCCGCCGTCACTAGAAGATTGTGAGGTTTGAGATCTCGGTGCACAATGCGATGAGAGTGCAAGAAGTCCACCCCTGATATTATATCGTGGGACATGCTCTGAAACAGAACAGTACATAATAATCAGTATACTTACTAGATTGAAAATTATACAAATTGCCTTTGGAATGCCTCAGCATGAATTAAGCTCTTCAATAGTGCTTACTCTAATCCTGCTTTCTGGAAGTGGTCCCGGTGCTCGACTAAGGAAAGAGTCAAGGTCCTGTTCCACATGTTCAAACACAAGGAATAGTACTAGCTGCTGGTCTCGCTCCAAACACTGCCCTCCGTGGCAGACATCTAGCAGTCTAAAGACAAAATACAATGATTTATTATTACTGCCTCAAGCTACAGACTCACACACAGGAAGTTTTTTATTTTTTTTTATTGCTTAGATGGATGGATGAGTTCACAGCTCACCTGGTGTTAAGTGGTTACTGGAGCCCATAGACATCTACAACGTAAATGTGCCACCCATCTTGAGATATAAGTGCTAAGGTTTCAAGTGTAGTTACACAGGAAGACACAGGAAGTTAGATATTATTAACAAATTTTACCACTCATGTATATACCTGACTATATTGGGATGTCTATACGCCTCAAGTTGTCTTAACAAGGCAATCTCTCGTACAGTTGAGAGTGGTATCCCATCCTCTGTGAGGGCCACTTTAACTTTCTTCATAGCTACAATCTGACCTCCATTATGAAGATCGCGAGCTTTATACACTGTCCCATATGCACCTGAAACGAGACAAACAGACAGTTTTGATATTTTTCTATCATGCAAATCTTATTGAATGCTGTTTATATTTCCTTTGAAAGTAGGCCCTGGTGCTCTGGAAGGTCTGGTAGAAAATGTCCAAATCAAATGTCAGATATATGGGAAAGTATATTTTTAAACCCAAATCAAATCAATCCACAACTGTATATCAGCTCCAATTTAAAATTGGAATCAAATTAGAAGACAGGAGTGGAATATTTTAATTTTATTCTTATACACAATGTAATGTTAAGACATGGATAATTTTTTTATTTCGTTTCCATAGTAGTAATAACGTCAATATTTATTTTATTTATATATATCTTATGATTTTATAAATAGTATATGTTTACAAACTTAAATACAAGCTAATGTTTTTTTTGCAGGTAGGCTTAGTTAGCGTTATTTGTAATTTGATTTTGATTCATTTTATTCTATACGACGAAAATAAAGCACCTGGTAAATTAAATACGAACAGATCGGATGAAACGTTGACATTCACATCGTTTTTTGTTTTTGTTACGGAACTGTAACGGAGAAAAAGAAAAAAGTGCGCGATTTTAACCGGCACATGGATAAATATAGGAACAAACATAGGTTATGTATAAAACAATTTATGTAGTGCGTTTTAAGAAGATATTTACATACCTGTACCAATTAGACTCAGTTCTTCATATTTCTGTGCATTTTGAAATAATGCACTGACATCGTTAATGGAAGCAACAACAGGTGGTGACTGTGAGGTACTCGCTCGCGACATCATGAACAGGTTTTTCTTTTAAACTTTATTAAATTAGATATATAATCTAAAAATTAGGCTCAGAAACTAATAAAACTTCTATATTCACATTATTAAGTCATTTAGAGTAAGCTTTCGCAAAACATTTAATTCTTTACCAANCTCAGTTCTTCATATTTCTGTGCATTTTGAAATAATGCGCTGACATCGTTAATGGAAGCAACAACAGGTGGTGACTGTGAGGTACTCGCTCGCGACATCATGAACAGGTTTTTCTTTTAAACTTTATTAAATTAGATATATAATCTAAAAATTAGGCTCAGAAACTAATAAAACTTCTATATTCACATTATTAAGTCATTTAGAGTAAGTTTTCGCAAAACATTTAATTCTTTACCAAGTACAAACTAAACAAATGAAAAATGTATATTTATCAACTACCGTTTAATCTGGCAAAGTTATGTCAACATATATTTGAATTGAAAATCCTTAAGACCCGTTAGCTTACATTTAGCCGGTTAATAAATAGATACTTCACCCGCCATCTATTGTGCAATAGCTATACTATTTCATTGCGTTGACCTTGCAGGTGTTGTTACTTGCAAATTGTAGCCCAGGCACGATAGATGGTATTATAAGTATTATTCTATTCATTTTCATGAAAATAATATACATTTAGATATTATTACGTAGACAATGGCCGGATTAAAACCTTTTTTTTCCTACCTATTCTGTTAGCCTTCAGAGGCTATTTCAGTTTCTTCTTGACGTGTAGGTGAGCTAACGGGGCTCAAACCGGGAGTGTTGCTAACACTGACCCTAGCAAGAGCAGTGCTTCGCAGAATCTACCACTGGATCGGAAACGCGACCCACTGAGAAGATCCGGCGAGAAACTCAGTGCTCAGTGGGCTGTGTCTGAGGGTTAATTTACTCATCGAGCTCTTCGTCGCAAGCGACGGGTTCGACGAGAACGATGACGGTGCTTGAGGTACCTAAAAGCACCGTTAGTGGATCGGGAGGATCCGAAATGACGTGTTTTGGGCGACGTCGACTGTTTACCATTTAGTTTGCAGGATCGGGTATGATTTAAACTTAATGCCGCTCCTGGGCATCGGAAAAAAATTGGCTCCAATACTGGAAATTATACTTACAATTATAGTTTAGCTGGGCTGCTAGATGGAGCTACGACCTGCGCAAGGCTGCTGGCAGTAGCTGGATGCGTAGAACCGAAGATCGGGTTCAGTGGCGAGCTTTGGGGTAGGTCTATGTCCAGCAGGGGACTGCCGCAGGCTGATGATGATAGTTTATATTTTTTATTATTCAAAATTAAAATAAATAGTTTATCGCAAAAACTTTATTCTATGTTATATATTCCAAAAACATAAATAAATATATCCTTTTTTTCTAATAATTATATATTTGGCACTAAGGGTGGCTTATAATTGCATTAATATACATTAAAAAAAATATACTAATTAAATATCTTTAATTCCAGAAAATAGAAAAATCGATAATTATTTATTATCTCCAAGGAAATAATTTGATTAAATCATTTTGATCATTAATACCAAAAGTGCTAGAATTATAATTAAAAAATAATGGGTGAATCGAATTTTTTTAATTATTTTGAACAGAAAATTATTAATTGTATATTATGATTAATTAACTATATTGCGCAATCTTGATAAGACAAAAAAAAATTTTCGCTTTAAAAATTTTGCCGCCCCGACTTGCCCCGACACTTGCCCGGACAGCCCTTAGTGTAAATCCACCGGTGACTGCACACAAGTGCTATATTAATTTTAAGTTGCTGATTCAAATACATTTAAATATTCTTACTAATATTCACCCAGTGGTAAAAGCTTTACCTCAAACGATTTAGATTCCTGTTATATTTTACATTTTCCTTTTTTTTCTAAAGTTGGGAAACAAAAAAGGCTGATAAAATTTTCTTAATAATGCACACTAAAGCCCGTGAATAACAAAAAACAAAGAGCAACACAGAAGAAAACAGCACTGAAAGTGAAGGTATTTATGATAGTTTTTTTGCCATTCTCGGATAGACTAGCTGACTGCCCACTTGGTGTTAAGTGCTCATCGGTGCGCGAGCCGTCTACCCTCTTAAGTCATTGACTGTTTGTTCGTTACTTGATAGACATAACATCTTAATTATTTTTATAAATGAGAGGAAAGGTTCTATGTATTGCATATTGTAAGGGAAAATATGGTTATTTTTTAGAAATTTATGTAGTTTATGCAAAAAAGAGCATTTAACGAGAGGGCTCGTCCGGGATTTGAACCCGGGACCTCTCGCACCCGAAGCGAGAATCATACCCCTAGACCAACGAGCCACAGCAATAAATATGTCAATTTAGTAGTAAGTTTAATAATTAATTAACCTTATAATTTCAATCATCTCTTGAAACTAACACGACCGCAGAATCTGCGGTGATGATGAGAACCGATACGCGGTGGGCGCGGTGGTGCAGTATTGCAGGCGGTCTTCGCAAACTACATCTGTGGCTTCTCTATCATTAATTGTAGAGTTTTCATTTTATTTTTCTATCGATCATCATCTATCTTCATCCTTCCGATAATTTCTATTTTGAACATTACGGTGGAGCAAGTGATTGCATTCGATCACAGTTTCATTTCATTTTGCCGAAAACCAATACGGGTTGTGTTCTGTGGTGTGGTCAGTCTCTATCCTGTAGTGTAATATTAAATATTTTTTTATTTTATTGCTTGATGGGTTTAGATTTTAGTTTTAGTTTAGATGGGTGGATGATCTCACAGCTCACCTGGTGCTAAGTGGCTAATGGAGCCCATAGACATCTATAACGTAAATGCGCCACCCACCTTGAGATATAAGTTCTAAGGTCTCAGTATAATTACAACGGCTGCCCCACCCTTCAAACCGAAACGCATTACTGTTTCACTGCAGAAATAGGCAGGGCGGTGGTACCTACCCGTGCGGACTCACAAGAGGTCCTACCACTACATACTATTAGGTTTGTTCAATGTACCTACCTTGTGTTTAGATTTATTATGAAAATATTAACAAGCAAGAGGCACAAGACTCCAGTCTTGACGTTTCTTCCACCTCCAGGCGTTTTAGAAAGTAACCAGAGACGCGCGAAAGGAGAAAAAAAAAAATACCGCTACAACCATGTCTGTCTCCGTCGCTCCTGTGACTTTCACATGCTCCGTCTTGCTCTATCACACGAACTCATTGAAATTAACTTGAAGTAGTCAGTTTGCCACGAGCATCGGTTCGCGCGGATGGTTTAAACAAAACAGCGGAATAATCAGGGGAAATTCAATAAAAGTTTTTTTGTAAAAGTGTTAATTTTAAATTATTCGTGAAGTAAAAGTTATTTAACGTGTTAGCCGCGAGTGTTTTTAACTTTCTAGGCTGCGAGTCTAACGAGTCGCGTGTGCGTAGTCAAGTCATCGAGTAAATGTGAAAGTTACTTTTGTGAGAAAAAGTGAGAATATATATTTCTTAAATTTAGTGTTGACTTATAATTATCCTACCCTGTGAATTATCAATAAGCAACTCCTGAAGAGTGAATTAGTGAAAGGTTTGTTGATTTTATTATAAAGTTCAATTAGCTTTTTCAATTTGATTTTTACTGCTTTTTAACATGATAAACATCACCGAATATGTACTCAACTAAGCTTCAGTATACTGTTAGATACGGATAGACTGAGGGTTAATAAATAGCAGGAGGTCCATCCGTCACTATTTACAGTATCAGAAGACTCAATTAAAAGTCGACGTGAAACAGATAGGTACGATGAGGTCGCCTACTATTCACTCTTATACTGCAATACCTACAAAACGGGAATTAGTGTTATTAAGAATTCACACTCACTTCTAGGAATTTGTTAGCATTGCTAACCTTTATGTACGTACGTCGATACCGCTACCTTTCCTGTTTACAAAATACTCACTTACACTTGGCTGGGCTGTCAGCTGGTTCAGCGAACACAAAAATAATTATTGACGCATACAGATCACATACAGATGGGATTACAATTCTGAAAGACTGCAACTCATTTCCATTAATAGAAGATGTGATTAGGAGAAAGTTATGCAAGACTGCTGACTGAGTGAGTCCGACATAGATAATAATAAATTATACTTGAGCACCGACAGGCGGGTAGTGGTATCACGCGCGGCTTGTTATAACTCGGCACTGGAACGGTAACAACGGTAGTAAGTTAGGTAGGTCTAGGTAGGAGCGTGTGAGGCGGGCGCGCGGGCTGGGTGGTGGACTAGCCTCCTGTCGCTGTTTCCTTTTTTTTTCCTACCTAAGCTGATAGCCTTGAGAGGCTATTTCAGCGTAACCTTAGCTAGTAGATGAGCTCACGGGGCTCAAACCGGAGTGATGCTAACACTGAACCTAGCAAGAGCAGTGCTTCGCAGAATCTATCACCGGATCGGAAACGCGACTCATTGAGAAGATCCGGCGAGAAACTCAGGGGGCTGTGTCTGTGGGTTAATTCGCTCGTCGAGCCCTTCGTCGCAAGCGACGGGTTCGACGAGGACGGTGACCGGTGCTTGTGGTACCTAAAAGCACCGTCAATGGATCCGAAGGATCCGTAATGATGGCATCCGATATCGCCGCTTGTAAACTGCACCAGCGCGCCTGTCGTGCTTTGATCCAATAAAGGTTATCCGCATCGTCGCGGCGTCTGCTGTCTCGCTGTCTCGCTGCTGACTTGTCATCTCAGGAAAGGTCGTAGAGTCGTGTACGTGTATCTCCGGTACACGCGTCGTCAAGCTGCGCGGTCTGGGCGGGCAGAGGACTGCGTGAACAAGTTCTCTCTGGTTGTCTGGAAGAGATCGCTTTTAGCGATAAGACCTCCTATTGTACAAATGTATCTGCTTTTTTGATTGTTTTATGAATGTAAATTGTGTTTTGGTGTGCTCTCTCTGTGGTGCATCGTATGGTCACGACATCAAAATTATACGCTGTGTTTTTGTGCTCATTTACCCCGGGGTTCCAAAGTGCGTTTGGCGAGTACCGACGTGCACTGAAAGCTTCACCCTTCACTATTTCTGCAACACTGCGATTTATTCTTCTTCTGGACATGGTGGTACTAGGTCGTGTCGTGTCGTGTCCTAATCTATCGGGAGACAGTCACCCCGAACTGGACGAAGGAATAATCGTTACAGGATGAATGGCGGTACTCACATCCACATGCCTGTGGACTCCGGAGAACAACTAACGTTGGGCGGTGCAGCTCGAAGCTAGTTATGCTTATTGGGTTAGGACAGCCTTTCCCAAAGGCAATAACGCCCCCTTGTGGGCGCTGCAGGCCTAAAGAGGGGCGGTAAGAGACCCAGAAAAAAAGGGGGCGTTGGTGTAGAGCAGTGATTCCCAAAGTGGTCTATATCGACCCCTAAGGGTATATGACAACCTGCAAGGGGTCTACGTCAGCGAAAAAAAATTTGGGGGTCCACGATAGTGGATCTCAACACACACACACTGATAGTACCTATTTACTTACATTATACTATCTTATAATACCAAGTTATCATTAGCCGAGGAGATTTAAGATTAACCCTTACAAAATTGACGCCAAATGTTGATAATTTATTATTAAAGCATCAGGTTTATCCTTCTCACTAAAATATTAACTTATTGCTTATATTATTTTATTTATAGTTTATTTTATGTTTATTTTATGTTACGTATATTTTACATAACAGATACAAAATTTTATTTTTAGTAGTTTTAATTTAAATTCAATTAATAAATGTATAAATTAACATGTGGTTTTACTTTAAGTTTTTAACACTAAACTTTACTACAGTTAGAAATTTACAGGAAATCAATATCAGGTAAGTAGGGGGTCTACCCAACACGGAAAAACATGGCATGGGGTCTACGACACAAAAAAGTTTGGGGAACTCTGGTGTAGAGGCTTGGGAGGCGACTTGTAATTTCATTTAGGAGGACTCTTAGACACCAACTGAGCTCTCACTATAGTGGTTTTGTAAGTAGGCAAAATAAGCGTGGGAGCCCCTGGGTTCGGAGGATATTGTAAATGAGACAGAGGTCGTGTGGTACAGGCTGGGAACGAAGAGACGCGCATCACACGCATCCCCCAGCCCTTCCGACCGCCCAAACGACAGTAATCTTCGTCGGTAGACTATTCGAAGCCCGCCTAGACGGCACGGCCACTTGTGCCCCGCCGGGTCTGGTCTAGCGTGGGTTGGGTAGTGCGGTCATCCGTGACTCAGTTACTGTTGTGCAAGACGCGTGTAGAGCAGCCGATACACGGCATTTCTACTAGTGTTTGTAGCGTTGGTAGTGTTGGTGCCCCGGACGTGTAAATATTTTAATACTAGCGACCCGCCCTCGCTTCGCTTCGGAAACATTAAAACACACATGAAACAAAACAAAAAAAAATAAAAATAAAAAAAGTAGCCTATGTTCATCAGGGACAATGTCGGCTTCTAATAGAAAAAGAATTTTTCAAATCGGTCCAGTAGTTTCGGAGCCTATTCGAAACAAACAAACAAACAAATCTTTCCTCTTTATAATATTAGTATAGATATAGATATAGATATAGACAAGTGCTTATTGCAAAATGTTATTTACAATATTAAAAATCGCGCTGTCGATACATCGCCCGATCGAGTGCTCACTGAAACATTTCTAACAATAAGCTGTAGAGGAGCTGATATCTCACTCCTCAGACGCCAGCTACGGTCTGTATGGCACATGCTCTGAGGAATTGTTTGAGATGATCCCCTCATCTCCTTTTTATCACGCATCTCCCGCCATCGGAGCAGAGTTCATCCATATTATCGGAAACCGCTGCGTTCATCCACAGTGCGTTTCCAGAGGTCTTTTTTGCCACGTACCATCCGGCTATGGAATGAGCTCCCCTCCACGGTGTTTTCCGAGCGCTATGACATGACCTTCTTCAAACGAGGCTTGTGGAGAGTATTAAGCTAGTATTAAGGTTCAATAACGATTCATTCAGTTGGTGCGGCCTCAACACAACCCGGCGGCCAAGTGAACTGGTGTACCGGATCACCACGAGCGCACACTTATCAGTGAAACGATCCAACATTAACTGAATTATTACCTATTGTTACTTATTTTCGTTGATTTCGAGCCGTGAGTGCTCATATGCGATTAGGCACTGACTTCCACAGAACTGGTCATGAGCCTTTCGTGAATACTTACTCGTATAGTGGCCACGACGAACTCCTTTATTTATATTTGACTAGCGGCCCGCTCCGGCTCCGCTCGGGTCTTTAACAAAAATTTCAACGATATTTGACTTTGACGTTGTTTTATTTTTTTAAATAAAATAACACTTATTGCGGCATAACTATAATAGTTAGAAATATGTTGTCCCGACACTTTTTGTAAATAATAATGTGTTCTACAAAGTCATAGTACATTATTTTATTCTATCATGAATAGTTTTCTCAGGGCACGCGATGTAAAGAATATTTTAGGTAATTTTTGACACCTTATATACCTAATATTAGTATAGATTACTATAGATAATGTTTTGTATACATATTGTATGATGCATAGCACAACTTGCACACATTTATATCTAACAGTCAAGTTCGAAGCTGGTTCGGTGCTGGATCTAATCTTATAATAGTTCGTTCGATCGTTCGTTCGTTAGTCTGTCGTGATGTAGTAGCGGCGGCGGCGCGGGGTCCGACGGAGGCTCGCGATGTGTCGCCCCCGATACCGAGGGACCGGTTCTCGCCGACCGACTGACCGACCTTAAGGAGTACGTACAGATTGACTTTATTTACTTACCTTTTCGGTATAAACAAAACAATATAAGGACAATCAGCTGACTTGTAGCTGCTGGCACCGACATGAGCTCTTAGTGCTTATGAGTGACCGCGTGTAGGAGTCTGTTGGATACGACGGGTCAATGACCTCCGGTAACAGCTAAACGCCAGGTGTGTCCTCTGACCATCTACCAAATGCCATTGCATTAGCTTTGAGCTTTGTTACAAGTAAAGCACCGGCCTTAAGTTTCATTGAGAGGGTCGAGATGCGTGGAATGTGCACCCGTTTCTGTCAGGTCGTCCATCAGCCGGCACGTGCCTGACCTCGTTGTGTCCTCCCGGTGCCGGGGCTGGCCGTCAGGAGTTTTATTTATTTATTGCTTAGATCGATGGATGAGCTCACAGCCCACCTAGTGTTAAGTGGTTATTGGAGCCCATAGACATCCACAACGTAAATGCGCCACCCACCTTGAGATATGAGTTTTAAGGTCTCAGTATAGTTACAACGGCTGCCCCGCCCTTCAAACAGAAACGCATTACTGCTTCACGACTAAAATAGGCAGAGCGGTGGTACCTACCCGTGTGGACTTACAAGACGTCCTACCATCAGAATACTGAAAGAGCGATACGCCAGTCGGCGGTCGAGTGTGGCGGAAATAAATATATTGTCAGTTTTGTAAGCCTGCACATTAGGGCGTAGGTAGCTGGAGATAGCACCCCGCGTCACTCTGCCGGGGACTAATTTATGTTATATTACACACACACACACACACACGCACACACTAACAAGCCCCTAAC